TGTTCTTTTTCTCTACAGCATATCAGTTGGTTCAGTTTTTGGCCATGCATCTGTTACAAGAGACCTTGGTTTACTTTGGGTTAGTAAATATTTTAGTTTGCAGTGAACATTGTTTGGAGTTATACTCACATAATTTGCTTAGCTTTCCCTATTTTTATCTGACCTTTGTGCAAGAATCTCTTGAAAGGCAACAGAACTTAACATGATAATCGTCTGTACACATCCTTGCAAGTAGCTTGTGTCTTAATTGCAGTGTTAGGACTTCAGCTCTAATTATAAAAACATCTCTTACCGAATTAATATCTATTTGAAGTAATGGTATCACAAGGGCCCTCTTTGAACAAGCACTGCCCCCTCCCCTTGACTATTCTGTCACTTACTTAAATAGTAAGGATACAAGGAAAACCTGTTTCTATTGCCACTCTAGGACTTTTCAAGCTTCAACTGCAGCGGAGGTAAATCAGTACAGGCAAATAATGAGCACCCTCCTCCATTGAGCGCCCTTCCTCCAGTAACTGCCCCTCCTTTTGGCCGAATTTTTAAGTAAGTGCCTGGGCACTGATTTGAAGAAATACATTATTCATATTTTTTCCAAATGCATCTAAACAGTACAGTATTCATTCATTGCAATTGTGCTGGCCTTGTGCATTAAATTTAAAAATCGTTTGTTTGTAATAGTTGTTTCTTTATTTCCTTTTTCAGGTTGATGCTCACATGGATATCAACAGTCCCACTACTACTAAATCTGGAAATCTTCATGGAATGCCCCTCTCCATGTTAATCAATGGCATACCAGAGGTAGAGCTATCCTTCCCCCCCAAAAAAAAGAATGCATTGGTGTTACAGTTTTAAAAAGTCATTTTTAGTAATACATATGAATCTCAGAAAGTCTCACTAACAAGTTGATGGTTTTGTAGTTTGCACAGAGGTCATGAACTTTGATATGATTGGTTAAAACACAACAAACACTCCAGAAATATTTCAGGTGTTTATGGTTTTCTACTAGGCACTGATCAATTTCCAGGTTAAGTTGAATTCCATATTTAAGATTTAGTTAAGCTAGCTCCATAAAAAATAAATTCACCCTCTCCCCCTAATAACAATTTCTAAAGTTATAAAGAAAGGAAAATGTAGACATCAGAGACAGCCTAATGATATTTTTTTTTTCTTTCAAATTTATGCTTAGTACCAATTGCTTTAAATTTATTTGATCTTTGTTTTGCAGTTTCCTTCCCCACCTGGATATGAATGGTGCTCTCCATGGTAAGTTATGATTGCTGATGAATGTTAGTTCAGTTTTTTTTCCATGAGATGCATTCGAAGGAATGTGGCGTGACTCAGTGACGAAAAGACACCACTTAATTTTATTTATATCCGCCTTGTACCATGCTCTCGGCCAGTGGGAATGAATGAATATTGAGCAATGTAGGAGTGGTTTTTGAGGGACTATTTGATGAATTTCCTGATGTTTTTGTAGCTTGAAATTCTAACGTTTTCTAAACTGTATCAAATGTTCATTTTGTAAACTAACTAATAAATATGATTATAATCCAGCTTATTCCATTTAGATGGTTTAAAGTTCAATGTTAATCTAACTCGCAATTCAGTTATTTGTAAATAATTACTTTTAAAGTGTTGAACAGTAGAATTATTATTGACATGAGGCTCTGGAAAGGGCCAGAGGGATCTCAATCTCTTTTCAGTCTCTAGTATAACTTTAAGTTGTAAAGAGCTAATTTGTTGTTTCACATTTCTCATAAGGGAGTAGCCTCAAATTTTAATTAACCTGTTCTATTCACTTTTTAGTTTGTCTCCAAAGGATATTGCTTACATTGGACTCAGAGATGTCGAACCACAAGAAAGGTGATTATGTGTACCAAAAGAGTTGACTGTTGTTTCCCTAATTGATGATGTATCCAACAATATTGGCAATGAGAAGGTGAATGTGCAGTCTATACAGTCAAGAGTTTGCAGCAGAGTAGTATAATCCTTTTTTTTTTTTTCATGATCATTTGATATCTATGATATATTTTGATTCTAGGGACATCTGTGAACAATTGGGGATTGCTGCATACAATATTGATGATATTGACAAAGATGGAATAGGGGTCATACTTGAAAAGGCTATGGAAAAAATCAATCCTGAGTAAGTTGATTAAATAAATTAATTAATGTTCTTTTGCAATGTACAGACATCTCAACAGCAATTGCATGCAATTATAGTGTTAGTAACCTCTTTGTACTTTGGTTAAGATAAGGCCCATGCTGAAACCTTCAGGATGGTGTCACTGGGTTGTGTTTTTAAGAAAGACAATTTAAACTCTCACTGCACCCCTCCCCTCTTAAGAGTATATTAGTTCATATATTTTATCATATATTTATCCCTTTCNCTCCTTGGTGTTACGTGTATAAATAAAGTATTATTATATTATTGTTATAAGTATTAATTAAAGTCGTACCCACTGACCTTTCATACTGAGGAGAACTTTTTGATATGTTCCTTTAACCCCTTGCACCCTGATATCAGTATTCATATTCTTCACACTGTTGCTGTACATTTACCAAGTACTTACAAGGAGATTTGGATTTATCAACTAAGCTGAAATTGTAAATTGGCCACCAAAAAAAAATGATTAAAAAGCTGACATTTCAAGCGTTAGCCCTTCGTCATTCACTCTGACAAAGGGCTAATTGGTTCATTGGTTCATTTATTTCACGCTATTATTTTACATAAAATTAACATAGATAGAAAAGTAAAGTTGCAACAAATGATTACAGGGAGAATAAAATAAATAAAGTACAGATTGTAAAAATTTGTGTGGTGGCCAAAGTAGCAAAGGCTTTCTAGTTGGCCACCACATGCTCAAATCATCAGCTTTTTAAACATTTACAGTGGCCAATTTACAATTTCACCTTAGTTGATATAACCAAATTACCTTGTTACCCCCGCCGACACAGCACCACAGTTTCTATAGAAACTTTCTCCATCTATTCACTTACAAGGAGAATTTGTTTAGCAATCAAGAGCTTCTCCAGTTTGCAGTTATTTCCGTAACTCTCATGACTTTACTGTCTTATTCAATGTTGGTACTTTGATGTGAGAATGGCTATGTGTCTGTGGCTCAGGGGAGTTAAAGATTCTAAAATTGCCTTTTAATGTCCTTACTTTTTTGTTCTTTTATTAGTGGAAATCGCCCGATTCATGTAAGTTACGATATTGATTCCTTGGATCCAAAAGAGGCTCCAAGCACGGGAACACCAGGTGGGGATTTTGCTTCATTGTTAGTGTAAACAGACCGTCTTTTTTGCTTGAAAAGGAGCAATCTTGTTGTTGGTAACTTAAGCTGTGGAGCCTCTTTTTTTTTTCAGTGAGAGGGGGTCTCACACTGGATGAGGGAATTTACATTGCTCAGATTTTGGCACAGTCAGGTATGTTTTTTGGCAAATATAATGTAGTAATGTCCATAGTCATCCTCAGTGTTGGAGGGTATTGGGGAATTGCAGTTTCTCATAGCAAGTAATTAATCAGCTGGTCTTGGTTCTTTGAAGGGTGGATGACACTCTTTGCAGGATAAATCTCTGTATGGTGGAAAGTGCAGTATGTTTTGTTAGAATTCATCCACTGGATAGGGATTTATCCTTTAGATAGCATTATCAGCCCTTTGAACAACGGAGGGCAGGTGCTTAGAACTGGTAGAAACACACATTAGAGAGCAAGACACATGAGCTCCTGCATGTGTTACCCCCTGCTTGCGTTTGCTGTTCAGTCACTCTCGCTCTGTTGCTCTGTTGCTCTGTTGCTCTGTTGAATGAAGTGCCTGCTATGAAGGGTACTGGCAAGTTCCCCTTGCCTCTCTCCTCTGATGCTCAGAATTAAGATACATCTTTTGTTCATTACAGGATGCCTGTCTGGGATTGATGTAGTGGAATTCAACCCAGCCATTGGAACTGAGGAAGAAGTACTGAAAACTGCCCAAAACACAATGAAACTTATTGAAATCTTACTGGGTCAGGAGAGTCACTTAAAAGAAGCTCCTCTGCCTCCAGTTGACGACAGCAAAGCTTCAAGTGGATGATAGACAAGCAAAGGCTGGGTCAATTTTTTTGCAAGGGGCTGTTTGAGACAAAAGAGACTGAGCAGGGTTAGAGGGCCTGGTTGGGTAAGAGGGGCCTGATGGGGTAAGAAGAGCCTGGTGGGGTAAGAGGGGCCTGATGGGGTAAGAAGGGGCCTGGTGGGGTAAGAGGGGCCTGATGGGGTAAGAAGGGGCCTGGTGGGGTAAGAGAGGCCTGATGGGGTAAGAAGGGGCCTGGTGGGATAAGAGAGGCCTGATGGGGTAAGAAGGGGCCTGGTGGGATAAGAGAGGCCTGATGGGGTAAGAAGGGGCCTGGTGGGGTAAGATGGGCTTGGTGGGGTAAGAGTGGTCAGTTTGGGAAAGAGGGGCCAAGAGGGTCAGTGAGGTTACCTGAGATTGCTGTTATGGTGCCATCCTGTAAATAATTGTGCCAGAGACGAAGGAAACAGTTGTGTAAATTTTTTTAAGTATATTTATTGCTAATGTCACGTCCTTTCATCATTAGTGTAAGTATTAAATTAGAGAGTGCATTTCCAATAAGATGATAGGTCTCATGGTTATAACTTATTCAAAACACAAATATTGATTAATGACTAATTAATTTATAAGTATCAGATATAGGTACCATGTTGTAAATAAAATGAAACAGTTCTATATTTGAATCCACTGGGTGGCATTTGAAACTAGCCCAAGTTTCAGTGCATAAAAGAACTATTCATTGCCATGGCAGTTAAGCATGGTGTAGTGCTCATCATTCTTCAAAGAACTCAGCCCTTGTGCCAGAGTAGAAAAGTATTGACGGGGACTATAACCCAATTTATTATATAGCTGGCAACCTAGTGAGTAAGATGAAGCAAACCTTGTGTTCTTATTGGCTACTGGAATGGGAAAGGTTAGCCCATCTTACTCGCTCATGATTGCCAGCCTGTGCAAGAAAAAAAATCGCATGGGGCAGACTTATAAGGGTAGTAATTCTTGGACATTGTTTAGCAATGGAGGCACATAAAGCAGAAGAAGACATCATCAGAAGATTATAAGGAAATTTTAACCAAAGAACAAACTATTGGTCTAGTACTAGTTTCACAAAATATTGGCAAAATAAACATTTATTTCAGGAACACAAGTTAATCTACACATTTATTTTTGTCTAAAAATTTGCAGTCGAGATAAGAATTTGTTGAAGTTGAAGTTCATTTATTTGTTTAAGCGGGTTGATTAATTGGCAGCTGTAATAGCTGATGTGGACCTGCTGTCCTAACCCACCCATCCCACCCCAGGGGAGGACATCCATCACACAGTAATCTCGTGTGTGGGAAATTAATGTCTCCTGCCAAACTCCTAGAAGTGATTAACATGCAAATTCTCCCCAAAATATCCATACATTATCCAGCAAACAGGAATGGGAATACCCAAATTTATCAGGTTGAAGTTGTTGTCTTGATCCAACCCCAAATTCTTGTAACTAATTTACAAGGAAATGTGTAGCAGCTAGAGGGGAGAATTCACAATCAGATCTTGAGAGTAAAAGGGTTAATATTTGTAACTGGCTCATAATACTTGCACAGCAATTAAAGATTGAGTAAGCCACCACATCTTCAAGTAACATTTTGATATTGTATGTCAGAGACAGACATAAACTTTTTTGCCCATTATCTGGGCATTTGGAAGAGCTGACAGGGCACTAGGACCCCCTCTATACTCTTTGAGGCACCCGAAACTCCGTATTTACAGAAATGGTTGAAGAAAATAAGCTGAATCATTTTTATTGATTCTTACTTTTGATCAATTAGAGGACAGATGCATAAACAACATCACCATCAAAAACTTTATTTTTCTCTTATTATATAAAACAACTAAATTCCATGTTGCCATGGGTCTGTTCACACATAGATCACAGGCAACTTCAAAATGTTGCGCCTCGTAAGCCACTTTTTGTTTTTACCATATTTTGATATCATCCGTGATTATCTGTGATAATACTGAACAGATGCAGAGACCCATCAAATCTATTTTTTAAAATGGATCAGATAACAAAGTACCCTCATGTCAGCAATACCCTGTGGTACTTCATAAACCAACTAAGAGATCCAACAAGTCAACTGTGGAGTCCATTTGACCCACCAAAATGGTCATAAGCTTGCTTCCTTATTTGTTCCTTCAACCCAAGACCATTGTTGATTCAGAAACAGTCAACCTGGATCATTCTTCACATGTGACTCAGTTAAGCACAGAATCACATTCCTGTGCAGTTTTCCACCATGGACCGCCTGAGCTAAATACCAGAGATATCAACTATGCAATGTTTATGTCCATGAACTTGGCATCCTGTTGATAGAAAACATTAATTTATAATATATTAAGAACTAATTTTGATAGAAATTTTATAATAGGGTATTTATTGTCATAGAGAATACATGGTTTTCCCAGGGGAAATCTGCAAAACACCTGGGAAATTTTTCTTGCTTCATACAGTAAAAAAAGCCCAAGATCTGGCCCTTGAGTTCAACTTCTCTGAGATAAAAAAAAAATCTTTTTTTTCTCCCGTGTAATAGGGACCTAATTGTCTCGTAAGAATCTTGATTAAAATGTTTCCAAGTCACACATGCATGTAAATGTCTTGTAAGAAATCTTGATAAAATGTTTCCAAGTCACACATGCATATAACTTACAAAACATCTTAAAATGTTTTCAAGTTCCAATCACAAATAAAATTACCTTAGGTGACAATGCTCAATACAAGCTCTAGAATTAGTTGTTCTTGTAAAAGAAAAAAGAATGTAATAGCTCAACTAGACAGAAAATTTACCTTGGAAAGCTTCCTCTCCACAGACCGTCTGAAGAAGTCAATTAGCTTAGTAGCAGCGGAACGACATGCTTCCAAGCACCTGTCATACTTTGAAAAGGAAGTAATTAAGGAATGGTTTTACCCTGCAACTCTTTACTCCCTAACATCAGTATGCACATTCTCCATACTGTTCTCTATACATTTCCAATGGTGCTGACAAACAAGGAGAATCTGGTGAATTCATTTCCAGTCCATTTTGCTTCAAAACAGTAACAGAACTGTTTTCCCTTTATCTTAGAGCAAAATAGTACAAAGATGACAACAAAAAAGTAAAATGAATATTAATATTTTACCTCCTGTATTGTAAAACTTCCAGTGGTTGATGAGGTCATCACATTTTTGTTGGCACTGTCAAATGCAAATGTCATTACTGCACAGGCCTCCTGTGAGAAAAAAATCAAAGATCATTCATTCTTTGATGGTGCTTTAACCCTTTACATTCTAACATCTGTATGAATTGTCTCCATACTTTTGTCTCACATTTTCTAAGGTGCTGACAATGAGAATTTGGTTATTGATCTAGAGCCTCTCTAGTGGGTGGTCGTGTCCCTTATTCTCATGGTATTAATGCTTGATTCAACAGTAATAAATAAATGTAAAGAGAAATAAGACACTGATCACTCCTAAGATATAAAGGGGTTAAACAAAACTGCTTAAGGTAGGAAAAAAGGTTCTATCACAGGTAACATTTCACACTTTTGACAAAGAAAATGTTGCAAAAAAAAGCTACAGCCTTACGTAAGGCAAATTTTAACATTTTCATCAAAAAAATTCTCAACATCACATTCACAATTTTCTCTCCATCACCTTTTCTTGTTCCAGGGAAGGATCCAGCTGAATGTCACCAGACTCACTTAGCGCGCATGACACAGCACAAACTAAACACTTCATTGGAAAACCAGCATCAATCATAGCCATGCACGCAGCATTGATTGCACATGACAGTAACTTTTAGCAGTTAGGAAAAACAATAACTAAATATGACTGCAGTTTGTGTAAACTGATTGGTCAGTGGGGCTGTGATGTTATTGGCTGTAAGACTCCAGTGGGGTAAGTCAGTGGTGATTGGTCAGTTTTGATCTGTCAGTGAAGTTAGGTGGCTCTGTTTAGTTCATTTGTGATGTTAATATTGTGAAAAGGCTTTCATTAACCAAGTGAAGAAGTACAAGGATACTGATCCACTATCCTGAACAAGCTGAACCACAATTGTTAAGGATGATCTGGGATGTCTGGAGGTAAGCACAACTGGTTCACAGCTGTTACGGATAACTCTCTCCAAAAGTTTTTCTGCACAGCCTGTGAAATTAGAATCATAGCAAACAAGCTGCTGACCTAATCAGTCATTCAATCAATCTTTGATTACACATGACACTGAAGAGCCCAAATCGCTAGAGGCTTGAGCAAGAAATGTGACTACCCCAGAGCCCTTAAAGTCTCACTCTTGTCTACTTTCATTTCAATTTTCCTTGACGAATGATAGGTGAAAAACCCCTAGGAAAGAAAAACACCCTTAGAATCTAGGATATTTTGAGCCGAGATTAGTTAAGACTTCAAACTTAACAATGATGTAAGAGTGGTCATACTGTTTTGGTGTACCTGGTGAGCCAACTTTGGGTCTGAAAACAACTTCTAGGGTAGCCTTATCAATGAGTTCTTTATTTGATCTGACTTCTGCCGGACCATAAGCTGCCGCGATCATGTGGGTATTCCCTGAAACAATAACAGTTCAAAATCATAAGGCAAAAGAAAGCATCAAAATGCCACTAGATTGCAAACGTGCGATGCCCTTGTTAAAGTCGCATAAAGCTGGATTAAAAAAACACCTTGAAAAAAGCTTGCTGATCCATCTGTTTTGTTTAAGAGGCTCTGTTCACATCGTAAGGATCTCAACTCCGATGAAAATCGTGGAGTATCCAAATTCAGTGCTTTGTCCTCCATTTTTATTTCAGTGTGTTCGCGGGCTCATAGTTCGTTTCCAAGTT